AAGAAGGCGGATCCAAGATGGCCGACCAAATTTTCAAAAACTAACACATTCGCGCCAAATTTGGTGTACGAGCGTTTTCGGGGTCACTGATTACGAATCCGAAATCAGATTTACAAAATTCGTTTTTAACAATTTAATCAATTACCTAAGTACTTTATTACCTGATATTAGACAGAAAACCCGTGAATATATCTCTTACGGAAATAAGAACAAGATATAGCCGAAAAAAGGAGGTTAAACATGATTGGGTACTCAGGTTATAAAGTAAACAAAAATATTACAAAATGAATTTCGCAATTCTAACCTCGAATTCGTAATCAGCGACCCCGAAAACTCTCGTGTACCAAATTTGTCGCGAATCTGTTATTTTTGAAAATTTGTGTTTTTTGAGGTTAGAAAAATCCTGTGATGTGATAGCTCAATTCTGACTGCGGATAATTTTTTTTTATGTGACTTATCCAAAATAAAATGAAATGTTTAAATAAATAATTAATAGAGAAGCATATACCAGATATGTTTACATTCTCAAATAATGCAATCATTTAGAGAAACATCCCATATTATTGTTGATCATGTAAAAAATAGCTGCTACAAACAGATCTTTTTGTTTACACATTTTACATTAAAAAAATTAGAAATAAATTAAAATTAGCGCAAATTTTTTTTGAGAATGTCCATCAATTCATCAGCTTAGAAATAATAAAATAATCATTTCAAGCTACAATAGTATCTTAGTAGAACATTTTAATTTGTCACAATCGCGGGTAATATAGAAAGAAAAATTGTATGTATTAACATTAACTGTTATGCTGAAATTTGGCCTTGTCAGACATGGACAGTGTTTATCACGTGTTGGAGAGCATATAGTAGAAGATATAGAATTCAAAACGCAATCGATACTCCTTATTGCAAATTGAAATGTTTGGGAATTCTGTAATCGATAAAAAATAATTTCCGGCGACAACAGAAAGACGTTCTATATCCGTCTTTAGTCCAGGCCTTAAATTATTATTATTATAAAGTACAGCAGAGAAAATTTTTCTTTGAAAGTATATCTGCAGATCATGAAGTTTTTGTTGTCTAGAAAAAGTTCAGCTCTAATACCGACTTTGTGCAAGGTTTGCCGCAAAAACCTTATTTGGTTGATCACTGTCATCAATTAAAAAGCGAAATAAAGTATCATTTGCAGCTAGGAATTTAATTTTCGCGATATCCTTGATAATTCATCGCACTTCAAATCGTATAAGTTTGGTATACGAATTTCTAATTGTTTATTTGTAGGAACAATTTTGTTGATATTACTTAATTGAAAATTTCTAAGAATTGGAACTGCGTTGATAAAAGTACTTCGAAAAACTGTAAAAGATTGTAAATATTAGCAATGTCCAATATTTAATCTAAAACATGTCTAAAAAAAAACGTTTAAAGGTACTAAATTACCTAGTTTACAAATTATTGTTAATATATTGTCTTCCTTCTGTAACTTCCTTTATCTTTAGTTAACAGAAATTTTTTACCAGAAATGATAAATATTTATTTTAATGAGCAATTCTCGTGTGAAGTCCTTGGTTTTCATGTTATTTCCAACAAGATAAAACATGATTTACAAGTGGTAGTTTTTTTTATATAAAAGATGTATTTTCTGATCAGGTAATTCCTCTTTGTAAAATGTTAACAGTGAACAAATTTATTATTCGCAAGCTTTAAATAAATTAAAAACATGCCAGTAATTATGATTGAAGTTATGACTTCACGATTAATGTTGCTGCATAAATAAGTATATTTCACATCAAAATTTTAAGGCATCGTCAAAAAAATGAGCTCCAATTGTAGTCTTTTTTGGAAAGGCTATTTTAATTTTGACTATTTTTTTTTTTTTTTCATTACAGGTTTATTAATGTTAAAATAACGATATTGGTTGAAATTTTCGTTTTCAGCATAAGCAAAGGATAATAAATGTTTTTCTTTGAAATTTTAAACATCATTTAGGGTATGTCAGCTATAATAGCACCCTCTCCTTTGCTGTTAACTGAAATTATAATAAAAAATTGTATCTTAGAGTTATTAATGAGGAATGCACCTATAATAAAAACAATCATCAAAATCGTAACCATTTTTAGTGGTGTCTTAACATATTAATAAATAGTTGATTACAAATAATAGTAGCACTGTGTATTATAAAAAAATTGGTGTGAGTGAAAAACTGAGTACTTTCAGTCAAATATATGTACCCGTTATATAAATTGTCCAGATGAATTCGTATTTGATACATTTGCACCTAAATCAGAGTAGATGTCATCATTATTGAGTGACCCCACCCCATTCTATGGTTGTCGTGCGTTGTCTTTGCCTATTCCCATCGTCCCCATTAGGTCATCTCGTGGCGTGGTGTATGGCATGTAGTGCTGGATAATTGTGTTTAAATGCAGCAGTTTTATTACAATATTACAATATTTGGTTAAATTAACGGATAGTTAGATTGTTACCTATATCAGATACCTATATAACAGATATGTGTAGAAACCACTGCGGCAGCTTAGTAGTTATTTTAATACAATGATATTTAAGGTGGTATATCGGGCTCCGAGGGAAGTGAGGAGAGCAGGGGGGTCCTATGCTTTTATGCTTTTCTTATGGGACTAACACCCGTTGCTAATTAACAACATAAAAATATCATATTTAAGTAGTTTTAAATTATATTTAATGAACGCATAAAGACTATGTAGATGTGGCAACAGCGCTAATAATTGACTAGCAATTGTACACACTGCGAACCTACATACCTCGGACATCGTAGATATTGCGCGCCAAATTCGGGTAAAGATGCGTACACGTTCAAAAATGTATTGTGTGTAAACTATGTACAATATAATTATTATATATAGCAAATATATCGTTTTATCCTCGCGAAGATTTGTATCCTTTATTTAAAATCCGTAAATCATGTGAACTGTAAAACAACGAGAATTATGTTAATTTAGTTCTAAAGAAATGAAATGATACTCGCGTCTATCTCTCGTTCAAGTCGAAGAAAATGTTGGATGCAATTTTGAAGGTTCTGTGATAGAAATTACATTATTACTCACTGTTCGTGTTTCGTGTTTTTAATCTCTATTTTAGTAATGTTACAAAAGTTTTGCAACTATAATTTGCTGAAAAATATTTATGTTCCTTTGTTATTCCGTACAAATGCTTTTATCTCAAATATTACTAATTATATTAATTGAGTAAAGAAAACTTTATGTAACCCTAAATATTGCTCGCTAATGATTACGATGTATTTATAAACCATTAAATATATTAAAAGGATTTATCAACTGTATTTTTTATTCCAATAAATATATCACAGTTTCCTAGTCTTTTTTAATTAATCTAGTTTTTTAAAAACAATACAAAAAATCATCTGTTGTGGATAATTTATTGTTTATAACAATGTACATGGAATTTAGAAAAAATGTATATGTTTGAAATCAATTTCGTTTTTATCAAGTCTTTCAAATGTATTTCCTCCTTGCTGTCAGCTGATTGCGACGTTGCCACATTAATCCTCAAGTCAGACAGAAATGCAATTATTGGTTTCTGTTTCTAATTAATACAGCTGTTCAAAACTTAGTTTTACATCAAAAATAAGATAATACTATCTATGGAAAAGTTTTGTTTCACAATTTCTACATCTTTTTCTCAGTTATGGGCAAAAAAGAGCCGCACCGTCCATTTTTGCCATATGAACCTATGTTAAAATGAACAACTTTCAACAACAATATCTCAAAATCTAGATTCAAAAAAAATTGCAAAAAATATGACGCACAGAGGGAGCACTGGCTAATACGCTATATAAATTTCAGGATTTAAAGAAAATATAAACCAAGTCTGAGTAAAAAATTACTCAATAATAGTTAAATTTAGAGAAAAAAAATCAACTCTTAATTGGTTTTAGGTTTTACATACATAGAATATAGTCAAAAGTCAATCACCTGCAGTTAGCAGAAACTCAGATTCGAGTAAAATTTGCTCAATTCTGTTGTAATAGTTTCACTCATAACATTTTAGTCGAACTCAATCGGGTGTGGACAGAAAATTGAATGAAATATTGTTTACAATGCATTTGGATAAAATATCAAATCTTAAGCGTTGTTTTGAATCTGATTTTATATTCATATGTCAATCATATATTACAATTATTACTACATTTATATCTTAAATGACTCACAGAAAATAAAATTTAAATTTTCAAATAACCTATTGTTAAGGTCGATGGATCACATCACCAGGAGAAAGCTGAGATGTACATCTATTAGATAATCGGAATATTCTCATTCCTTATTAAAATTCAATAATAAAACCGAAGATTTACCTTGAATATTAAATATTTTAATTATTCCCGTTTCAATGGATATTTCAGACAGTCTGTGTAGTGTAAATCCTGGTTTATGCGTCTTTGTGTGAAACAAGTACTTTGACAACTTGCCCCATAAAGAACTCCAACGCAATATTAAAATAATGCGCTGCATGCACAACAAAAGCCCGGAACAAAGCTCGGAACTTTATTAATATGGAAGCTAGAGCTCACGCATGAAGTAACGGTAATCAAAAAAGTATTTGAATAATAATTCTTAGAATCCCCTCATATTTGGCCGAGCGTAGACTATTTCCATCAAAGTTTTGACAGTTATGTTATCATAAACTACAAATAATCAAGAATTATTATTACTGTAGTAGGTATTCTTTATCTTTTATACAGTGAACCTAGAAAACGAAATACTTTGGTTTTTAAATGATATTTTTGTTTATATAAAACAGAGAAAGAACAAACCTTATTTACTGTGTGCTTCATCAATTCTTGTTCGATATATTTATAAATGTCTACGACTAGTTCATTCTTATTCCAAATACAGGAAAATATTAAAGAAGATATACCTAATCTGTTGTTTAATTTTTTTTCTTCATAAAAGGCAAGGTTGAGTCTAGGAAAGAGAACTTAAAATACAACTTCATTATAATAAAATACTTTATATTTATGTCTTCAGTTAAGTACACAAAGTAGTATAAAGAAAAAAATAAATAAATAAGTAAATAAACTTAACCCTAATAATACTGAGATATATACATTGGTCCTACAAAAATATACATAATACTTATAGGTCCTTAGATGTCAATGCATTCATCTAGATAAATAAATAGTCCGCACATACACAACATATACTAATTCATACGCCATTACACGCGATCTCCTTGGGACTCGTCGGGAGTATCCTGAAATTATCTTCACAGTCCTTGTTAAACACGTCGTCGTCCTCCGGCAAAATCTTGCAGTTCGTCAGCATGTCCAGGATATCATCGTTGTCATTAGTCGTGACTTCATTCTCTTCGTCCGAATCAGCCACGAGAATAGGAGTAGCGCCGTCGTGGAGGTTTGACTTGCTCTTGGATCTCTTGTACATCTCTTTGGACACGCTCCTGGTGAAGGAGAACCTCTTGGACTTCTGCCTTGTGAGCGGAGGGCGGACGAATTCTTTCCTCGTGGGTAACGCTCCCAAGAGGGCCGAGGCGTGTTCTGAGATGACCCTCCATGCGTACTCTATGTCCTCGTGTTTGGCGTTTTCAGCTGTTACGCAGAACCTTATTATGTATTTGTCCTTGACCATGGAGGGGATCATGTGTAGCTTCCCGGAAGCGTTTATTGTGGCCAATAGATTCTGGTTTATCGTGTCGGGGGCTAGGAGTCTGAAGCAAACAAGACCTAATTTTACGTCGTTCACGACTTCGAACCTGTTGTCTTTTTTAACTAAGGATTCGAAGTGTTTTGCCAGTTTGATATGGTTTCTGATATATTTCTGAAGACCTGACAAGCCGTACTTCCTAATCACGAACCAAAGTTTGAGGGATCTGAACCTTCTGCTCAGGGGGATTCCCCAGTGTCTATAATCTATCGCTTCATCCGAGTTGGCGTGCTGCAAGTACAAGGGATCTACTACAAGGGCGCGAGTTAACCTCATCCTGCAGCGTACCCAAAGGCAAGAACAGTCAAAGTTAACCAACAGCCACTTGTTGGCGTTGGTGTTGAAGGAATCTGCATACTCTATTCCTCTGAGGTAGTGTTTGAGTTCTGGACAAATAAACGCATTTCCAGCGTACGCAGCGTCGACATGCAACCAAGTGCAGGGTTCCGCCTTGCAGACTGGCCCGATCTCTTGGAGATTGTCGAAGGAACAGCTAGAGGTGGATCCTAAGATCGTGGAGACGAAGAAGGGCACTAACCCGTTGGCTTTGTCTTTTTCCATCGCGTCCACTAACGTTTCTCTCCTCATACTGCCGTTCTCATCGGGGTCGAGGATCCTCAACTTAACTAACAATATCTTAGCTGCTTTCTCAACGCAAGAATGGGCTTCTCTGGAGCAGTAACCTACTAGTTTGGGGAGGAACACGTTGTCTTCCACGTGAGGCTTGTTGCGCTTCAAATATTGAATGGCCTGGTTCCTCGCAGCTAGCATACTGACCAGCACGCACTCACTGGCTGAGGTCTGGATGACGCCGCCACCCCTGCTGCCTTTTGACGAGGTGATGAAATCATTGGGCAGGCCGATGGCTTTTCCTAACCAGTCCATGACGATGGTCTCGAGTTCTGTGCATGCGGGACTAGCGGCCTGAAACAAAAACACTGATTATTAATAACCGTAGTTGGAAACAAACAATGAAGCTGTGATGGATAGGAATACATTTCAAATTCGGATTCAAGAGAGGATCGTAGGTGTAAGCAAATATGAAGGGCGGGTAATTTGTGAATATTTCTAGTTGATATGTGAATTAATATGAGTGGATTTTTGGTAAACAAGACAATTACAGTTTGAAAGAGAATAATTTGCGTTATTCTGATTCGAAAATTACCTAATTCTCGGTAGGGTTCACGGTAGAGCGTCAGCCAAGTTGGCATTGAGGTAATTAACGCTAATTTGGTTATTGTTATGATAAAAGGAGACTAGTTGGTAGTTCCCAGAGTGTGAGTTATTTGTTGTCCATAAATTTTAATAATATAAATATTCCCATAATATATCTCTTTTTAATATTGTTTGTAATTCTATTTTAAAGTGGAAATAACATGTAATAAATTAAATAATTTGCGGTATGTTTTATCAAAATGTTATAAATAGTTTTATATGTCCTGGAGTAACTCGTGAATTGTGTAATGCAAATATTTATTTAATACATGTTGTTTTATGGATTTTTTCTGTTAAAATTTTGCGCTGAGAAGAATATCGTGAGCTCAGCAATATAAAATAAAGATATAGTTTAATTATCATAAATAGTATATTTTATGGAAAATATGCATAATGATTTTACATTTTAATGTAATTAGAATTATTATAAAAAAAGAAAATGTTACAAATTTGTTTATATCCATATTTTTAGATATTTTATTATTTTATAAAAATGACCTCTGTTTTTTTTTATAAATAATAATAAATAAATATACTATTTAATTAATAATACTAATAATTCAAGTTTAAATTCTGAATTTTTGAAGTAACGTAGTTTTAGATTAAGTAAGGATTACAAATATTTTATTTTCAAACTATTTATGCTTCCAAAATTTGTCAAAATAACCTGACTAACAACTTAGTCACAGGACAAAAAATTTTGGTAAAAATAGAACTCTTAAAAACTGTAATTTACTGCATGTCGAAATAAAAATAAAAATACCCACCCATGAGAATCCAATACATCCAATGGCATCGGAGAGCATGTCCGCCAAAATTGAAGGGTACGAATTTCCACTGGGAAAATAAGCGTGAAACCTGGGGTGCTGCCAGTGTGTTACTCCGGGCATAATTTTTTTATCCACATCTTCCATGATGTTATCCCATTCTTCCGGTTCCACAGGAGCCTCGCTGGGGATGAGCTTCCTCAGGTAACCCGGTTCCACATCGGGGGTCACTCTGTGGTTGTTTAAGTTCGTCATGTACTCGCAGATGTAGTCCACCATCTCCTTGCCACGCGTCCGGAACTCTTCCACGTCCATGTCTTTCAATATTTCGAACTGAGTTTAAGTGATAACGATATGCGTTTTTATTTTTAGCGTTTTATGTGTCGCGCAATCTTATTCGTCACCGCGTATCCCGCGCTTTTCGCTGTTCGCGTTTCGACTGATGTCAGGCAGGTACCTACAAACTACTTTTATATAAAAACGCCTGGTGGGGGAGGTGCTGGAGATTACGCTCTTGGGATATTTCGAATTACTGCAACGCCGTGCCGATACGGTAATTATTTATTGTGGTAAGCAAAAAGAGATCGCGCCTTTTCAAAAAGTAATTTCTGTTTTCAATTACTCACCATCAGGGGCTGCTTCTTTAGCTGTCACATTGGAAAGAAATTAGCTCTTGTTGTTTTACTATAAAGTGTCTGAATCTGCGTCTAATTAGGTTTATTTTTTGAAAAATTTTCTAAACAACTTCCGGTTCTAATAAAAACTTGTGCTTATATTTTAGGAGAATATTTTTCAGGCAAAAATAAGCAAAATAGTTTACACAAACCTTAGCACCGTTTTTAAGATACAGTTCTTCTTTTTTTAAATTGCTTTTTGTACATTTTAAGTCTTAAACAATCTGGAGGGTTGGTATTTATCTGCATTCTAGCAAATGGGATATGAAACTTCATATTTTGTCTAGTACTTTTATATTGAAATAAAATAAGTACATTTCAAATGTAAACAGATACGGTAAGGTTAAAATTCTTAATTTTTTTAACATTTCTTTACATGAATAATAATTAGGAACTCACTTTAATAACTTTTTTTGTACAACAAAAACCTGAGAAGAAAATCTAGAATTTTGCCAGAAACAGACACCATACCTGAGACGAGATTCAACTTGTGTATGGTATAACGAATCAAGATGTTTAATAGTAAAAAAATACCTCAAATTATGAAATATATAGGTTCGAGGGAAGAGCTTGCTTGTTAAAATTTGATAGTAAATATGCCATTTCAAATTTCTATCTATATGAAGACCTAAAAATTTCACAGTATCATCACCAGTCCTTAAAGCAGTAAAATTTGACATGCTACAATTCCTTTGTGGGGTAAAATCGTAGAATGTTTGTTTTATTAGTAATAAAATATGAATGATTTTCTAAAGACATCTGAAAAATAGTACAGTTTGTTTCGAAGTTCGACTCGAACTAATTAAGGAATCAGCATAGATAGTAACACCTGTATTTAATGAAATAGTATCAAAGTCGTTTATATAAATTTAAAAAAATACTGGGTCTAGTACTGGACCTTGTGGTACACCCTTCCGTACAGGAAGAACGAACACCTAGCTTTAATAATACCTTCTTTAGCACTTACAAAATCGTGATAGTGACTTTTATGCCTACGACTTTTTTTTAAATACTAATGCATGAGCTTTTTTAGTCACATATTTTAAGAATCAAATAATAATTCGAAGGATTATCTTTTTGTAGCTTACCTGAACCTAGGTGATGATTAGAAAAACATTGTAAATATTATAAACTGAACTGATGACTTGTTATATTTTATGGGCATTTTTCCTTTGCTATATTACTCAAATAGACCAGTGCTTAAGCCTTCAAAAATGGTAAAAAGTGAAAAAAAAAATATAGTAGGATGAAACCCATTGGAAAAGGAAGAGAATATAACAGAAATTAAAAGAAAAATAATTTACGGGCGATCTGAGGTCGGGAAGGGGAAGGGGGTGAGTTTTTAAGGGTAAAAAACGGTTTATCTTATTTCCGGAAAAACTACAAGTCTTATGGAAAAAAGTTAAATGGCAAAGTTGTAGGTAATAAAAAGATTTACAACATTTGTATTTACACTTTTTTCACATAACCTCAAAATTTATGTGAAAAATTCAAATAACCAAGTTTTTGGTTTTTTATTTTTATTTCTTACAAAAAAATTTTTTTTTTCACGAAATTTGGTGAAAACTTACCTATTTATGTCCCAAACACGCTGTAATTTTTTTGATTTGAAATATTTATTTTTTCACCTTATTTTTACTTAATATCGAAAAAGCACCCTAATTTTCAATCGAAAATTCTCACGTCAAAATATCTGCTTTTTTAAAAACGTCGGTGGGCTTTTTCTTCGTTGAAATCTCTACTTTCTGATGGTGTAAAAAAAATATACATTACTATGGTAAGTTTTCTCAGGAAATGCAAAGAAACGAAAGAAGATTCTACAACTTTCTCAAAATATTGTAGATGTCTTATTAAATATTAACTTTATTAACTTATTTGGTTGTTAATTATAATAGTATATTTCGACTTGTAATTTTTTTGTTTATCAATGTAACATGGAATCTTACGTTTTTCGAGTAATTAAAGTGTAAATTTTAATAAATAGCTCAAAATTGTACATAATGATTAGAAAAAAATTTTCGGATTCTAGTTCGTTTCTTTGCATTTCCTGAGAAAACTTACCATAGTAATGTATATATTTTTTTACACCATCAGAAAGTAGAGATTTCAACGAAGAAAAAGCCCACCGACGTTTTTAAAAAAGCAGATATTTTGACGTGAGAATTTTCGATTGAAAATTAGGGTGCTTTTTCGATATTAAGTAAAAATAAGGTGAAAAAATAAATATTTCAAATCAAAAAAATTACAGCGTGTTTGGGACATAAATAGGTAAGTTTTCACCAAATTTCGTGAAAAAAAAAATTTGTTTGTAAAAGATAAAAATAAAAAACCAAAAACTTGGTTATTTGAATTTTTCACATAAATTTTGAGGTTATGTGAAAAAAGTGTAAATACAAAAGTTGTAGATCTTTTTATTACCTACAACTTTGCCATTTAACTTTTTTCCATAAGACTTGTAGTTTTTCTGGAAATCAAGGGAAACCGTTTTTTACCCTTAAAAACTCACCCCCTTCCCCTTCCCGACCTCAGATCGCCCGTAAATTATTTTTCCTTTCATTTCTGTTATATTCTCTTTCTTTTCCAATGGGTTTCATCCTACTATAATTTTTTTTGGTTTCAAAAATTATCGACCCTAGTCTAAAATGGTTATCTTTCCAATTGATATTGTGACTGCAAAATTTCGATTATAGTTTGTTATGTAATATGCAAATAAAATGCCATATAACAGCAGATTAACCTTTAAAACATCTGCTAGAGAATAGTTTTAATTTATTAATAATTATTATCTTAATTTTTGCTACAGTTTTCCATGTTTTTAAATAAAATATCTAGGTATTGCCTAAGAATTGCATCATTGTATCATCTATGCGTGTTTGTTTGTTTTTTATTTATTTTAGATATAGATATAGATACTGGGTAGCTACTGAAATAATTACATTATTCAAACTTCAGACATTTAAAGAAATAATGACTTAAAAATTACAGTTTGGCAAGGTGTGACATCATTTGGTTACGATACCATTTAGATATATTATTTAAATCATTTTGCTTATCAGCAAACAGTATATTCGTGTAGATATGGCCAGAATCCTAAACAAAACTCCTGGTTCCTTAAATATTCATCGAACGTGCAGCTTCCCACGAATAAAGATTTATATTAGTCTAAAAGCCGATATGTTTACTTCGTATTTTTAACTTTTTGGAAATGATTGGATAGTGACTCCTCCAAATTTATAAATGTTAATAGACTCGACGCTCGTGTACAGAAAATGTTGATTTATCTTCATTTCTAGATAAAGTTCAAACAGAATATTTTTTATTTACTTTACTAATTATCAGTTTATTTAATCTTAAAATATTTCTAAAGATAAACTATACTGCAGAAATTTCATATTCACTTTTGGTGATGTAATTTTATGGTGGACGATTTTGCACATTATGTTGGTGTTACAAAAACTTGTTAATAAGTTAGATGCTATATATCACTGCGGATAACAACGTGATTGTAGTTAAACAAATTTAATTATATTATTCCCGCTATTTCACAAAGTAAAATCACTTCAAAATGGAATGATTCATTTTGTTTGCGTCAATTCCTTCTGTCACCGTAACTAATTTGAAAATTAAACAATCCAAGAACTACTTTGATACAGTAAATTGTATTTGATGTTCCGCCTTCAAAGTCGATGGAAATTCACAAAGATTTTATTCATTTCTTCGAGTAAAAGCAGTTTTACCGCAACAGATGGGCGTCCGATAATTTTAATACGGATCAGTATTTATTTTAAAAATAAACTGATAACCATACTTAGACTTAGATCCTAAGTAAATACACTTTGGAGTCATTTTTAAGAAATCTGTATTAATCTTTCTATCGTATATTACGATAATTATCTTCACGAGTCAATTTTCATTAGTAGAATTGTAAAAGCAAATCGATATTCACTGCTACAGAAAAATGTTTTCAATTGGTTCAATGGTTTTGCCTTTTTTTTGTTGTCATAATTGAATTTTAAGATATCGTTGATACTTACCCTAATTTGGGTTAAAGAAAATAGCATCAACCCATGTATTGTTTATTTTATTTCCGTTGTATCAGCTGTCCGTCTACATTCTTTAAATGAAGTCAACTATTTGTTATCATTCTGTGGTACTAAGGGGATTTATGTGATAATAAACTTATTATGTTTCCAATTATCATTAGTTGGTTTCCCAGTTTTAAATATTGTAAGAAATAACCTCACTGTTAAAAATAAAAATCACTCACTCAAATGCTGTATTGTGTATCGGAATAAAGCATTCTTTTGTTGAAAATTGTAATTCAAATAATCAATTATGCTTATTTCAGTTGATTACGTGTGCTTTTTGATAAAAATGGCAATACTACAACTAGCATCATTTGGAATTGGGTATCACATCGATTTAAGTTGATTTACATTTGTTTATAATTTTTTATTGAAAACTTCTATAAAACCGTTTGCAGGAACTGCCAAAATTAAAAAAATTGCAACTCTGGTTTCTAGACGCGAAAGATATTTTATTATCCTTAAATTTTAAAATTAAAAAAAAGAGATAAAGGAGTTACAGGGTATCGAAAAAATAAATAACATATTATTTAATATCTATCGACTACTTCGAGCTAATTTCGTGAAATTTCGTATCCGGTGGTTTTTTGGGATGAAAAATTCTAATTTATCGACGATTTCGTTACATCTTCTAGAGGGCGCCACAAGCGACCATTGGGACGCATTTA